CGCGCAGCGCCGGCTGGGGTGCGAACTGCATGGCCAAAAAGCCCTGGAGTGCAACCTGCGCGGCCGCCCAGCTAGGGGCCCACGTGCGAACCCTACCCCTACCCCCCAGGATTTCCGAGGGGGAGGGTGGGGTTCACATCGCTCGGGACCTCCCGAAGGAAGTGAACCCCACCCTCCCCCTCAGAAATCCTGGGGGGGAGGGGGAGGGTTCGCATGTGGCCCCCTTACCAGCGCACGAGAGGCGCCCGAGAGGCGCCCGAGAGGCGCCCAAGAGGCGGCCAAGAGGCGCCCAGCGCACGAGGCGCCCCAGAGGCGCCCGAGAGGCGCCCAAGAGGCGCCCAGCGCCCGAGGCGTCCAAGAGGCGCCCGAGAGGCGCCCGAGAGGCGCCCGAGAGGCGCCCGAGGCGCCCCAAGAGGCGGGGCACAGGGCGAGCCGCCCACGGGCGGGCACGCGGCGGCGCCTCGCCGGGCCTGCCCTTGCGCGCGCGCGGCGCGGGCCCTCTCGCGCGGCGAGGCCTCGGCGCACCGCCCCCGCGCCCGCGGGGCGCCCGCGAGGCGCTCCGCGAGGGCGGGCGCCCGGCGGAGCGGGAGGCGGCCCACGGGCACCCACGGGCGGGACACGGGGCGGAGCCTCGGCCGAAAAGCGCCCCCCGCGCGCGCGGGGCGCCCCACGGGGTGGGCGCAGGGCGAGGCGCCCGTCGGCAGACCTGCGTCTTACATGATCTGTGCGCGAGCGGAGGATGGGGGAGGAGGAGGAGGAGGAGGAGGAAGAGGAGGAGGAGGAGTGACCAGAAGTGACCATGAAAGGACGAGCGTCCGCAAAACTAAACGGGTTAGGCGGGGACTAATCCGACGATGAGTCCCCGCCTTCACGGTGAGGGATCCTGGTGGGGGGAGGAGGAGGAGGAGGAGGAGGAGGAGGAGGAGGAGGAGGAGGAGGAGGAGGAGGAGGAGGAGGGGGGGGAGGAGGAGGAGGTACTTTTTGGGGGAAGCCTGGCCCTCGGCACGACGCCGCCGCCGCGCACGTCGTTCGGTTCACGGGCACATCCGGCAGCCACACTGAGAAAAAAAGTGGGAGCCGTGCTCTCTAAAGCGGCGACGGCTTCAGACGCTTTCGTGATACACTGAAGGGGCCCTGGGACACACAAATAAATACACCCAAATAAAAAGATTCCCCATACTCTCCCATATTTTCTGGGCTTCTGTCTTCCCACCCACTTCCCATATTTTCCAATATTTTCTGTGGAATCGACGATTAATTGTGTCTGTGTGTTCCGTTCTCTCCTGATACACGGCCGTACGGGCGCGTTTCCCCTGCAGCACGGGGCGCTCCGCTGGACACGTCCTTGACATGGTCCGGCCAGCCATCACTGGGGGGAGCTGTGGTCCTTACCCCCCTGGGGGAACCCATCGCATCGACGATCTCTCGAGAGGGGTGTCGAGATCGATGTAAGGACCACAGCTCCCCCAGTTGTGGCTGGCCTGATGATGGTCCCACCTGGCTTCAGCTGCACGGATCCGTGCAGCTGAAGGCGTGGCGGGCAGCCCGGCTCCAAACAACGGGGCCCTGGCCTCCCACCAGCAGGCCCATGAGGCACTCTCCCCTCTCCAGGGCGCGCCACCCGAAGTGTCAACGCCATGCGTGTGTGGGCACCGGGCCAGGCGAAGGGGGGATAGCAAAGGGGGGGCTTGAGAATCAGCTCACGCAGCTGACGTTCCCTGCTGAGGGACAGGCCCGACTCAAAACTAGTACGAAGAGCATTGGGGCACCCTCCCACAACCAGCCTCGATCTTATACCTCGGTCCGACCGCTGGCACTTCCTCTCGGGTCGGGCGAAAGGGGGGGATAGCAAAGGGGGGGGTGAGAATCAGATCACGTAGCTGACTTTCCCGGCGCCTCCCGGCGCCGGAGGCGGCCAGGTATCGAGGAAGGGGCCCCTCGGTGGGGCCGAAACCGGCTGCATGCAGCAGATTTCTAACCCCCCCTTTCCCAATCCCCCCCTTTCGCCCGGCCCGAGGGTAGAGGCCTCCTGGGGTCGGATTGGATGGGGCCGGAGTTGATGGGGCCGGAGCATCGCGCCGCATCGGCGATACATCGGCGATGCATCGGCGATGCACCGGTGATGCAGCGTCGACGTCGGCGATGCATCGGCGACGTCGACGTGAAGCACATCGGCCCCCACATCGAGCCGCATCGGCGGTGCATCGGCGCTGCGGCGCGATCCTCCGACCCCGTCTCCTCCGACCCCATCTGAGAGGCCTAGAATTATGTCAGGTGTGTCCCCTACGGGGGGATTTTCGACGAAAAATTGTTTAAAAAAATACTCCAATAATACACCAAGAAGGTTATAAAAAAAAGTCGCCAGAATGTTTGGATCATTGTTTGCTTACTTTTGAAGTATCTTTCATTTTCGTCGAAAACCCCCCCGTAGGGGGACATAAGCCTATAGAGTGGGTACCGTGGTGGACTGGGCTCCCAGGCGGGTGCCCCGAGCACGGTCCGAGGATGGACAGACCCCCCTTTAGTAAAGCGTGGTTTAGTGAAAACGACCTGAGGCCCAAACCTGGTGGGCGCAAGCCTGGAAAATAACGGCCACGGCGCCCTCTCGAGAACCAAAAACGGACAATTCACGAATCGACGTGTCACTGTTGGGGGTTCTGTCCAGCCCCGACCCGGGCGGGTGCCCCGAGCACGGTCCGGGGGTGGCCACCTCGCACCGCACCGCGCCGTGCATGGGGCAACGGCCCCCAAAGGGAGGGCGCGCCGAGCACGGACGAGGAGGAGGAGGAGGAGGAGGAGGAGGAGGTTCTGTCCAGCCGCGAATCCCCCCCCCCTAGTCATCACCCCCCTCTTTGCCGCCCCCGAGAAGGGGAAGGAGCAGGAGGAGGAGGGAGGAGGAGGAGGAGGAGGGAGGAGGAGGAGGAGGAGGAGGAGGAGGAGGAGGAGGAGAGGAGGAGGAGAGGGGGGAGGGAGGGAGGGAGGGAGGGAGGGAGGGGAGGGAGGAGGGAGGCGAGGGAGGGAGGGAGGAGGAGGAGGGGAGGAAGGAGGAGGAGGAGGAGGAGGAGGGAGGGAGGGGAGGGGGGAGGGGGGAGGGAGCCAGACCGCGCCGCGGGCGCCCCCGAGAAGGGGAAGGCGCGGGCGGACCCGGCTCCACGCCTGGGGCCGGCGACGGCACCGCCCTCCTCGCGCGGAGCCCCCTGCGCCTCCTGCCAGGCGGTGCCGGGGGTGGTGCTCCTGCCGAGGTGCGTGCAGTGTGCTTCCTGGCCGTCCACCTCCTTCTCCTCCTCCTCCTCCTCCTCCTCCTCCTCCCTCCTTCCTCCTCCTCCCTCCTCCTCCTCCTCCTCCTCCTCTCCCCCCCCTCCCCTCCTCCTCCCTCTCCCTCCTATCCTCCTCCCCTCCTCCTCCTCCTCCTCCTCCTCCTCCTCCCTCCTCCTCCTCCTCCCTCCTCCTCCTCCTCCTCCCCCTCCTCCTGGGGAACCTCGGGATCACCATGCCAAGACTCGCCGGGATCGATTGTTGAGGTGTCGCCGTCCGTACTCGGCCACACGTCTTGAGGGAGGCGTCTCTGTCCTCACTCGAGGCCAGGTGGCGAATTTCTACGAGCCCATGGGGGTGCCTGCGCGCCCGTCTGACCCGCACTACCGCCCTCCTCCTCCTCGTCCTCGGGTGGAGGGTTCGGAAGGAGTGTGTGGGGGGGGAAGGACGCAAGACGCAAGAGCTGGCAGCCATCCCGAGGGTGGAGCCCAGGAGGCCCGGGAGCTGCAGGCTGCAGGGACCGAGTGAGGCCCAGACCCTGCGTGCGGTGAAGCTCTCGCTCTGACGTCAGGCTACCAGGCGCTGCTCGGAAGCGCTCTGGCAGGCTCTCCCGTCCTGGGATTCCTCGGACTAGATCGCACGCTTGCGTCCGTGCCTTCCAGTCCCAGCAACGTGGTCACTGATTTGAATGCCAGATTGCCCCGGCACGTTGTCGTCGCGAGGCACTCGCAGGCTGTGGTCGTGAGAAAAACCACCTCCTCCTCCTCCTCCTCCTCCTCCTCCTCCTCCTCCTCCTCTGCCTCCTCCAATCCCCCTCTTCTGCCTTCGTGTCCTTCTCCCCGAGCTCGTCCTTTCTGCACCTATCCTCCACCGCCTCCTCAATCATCATCACCATCAGCATCACCCTCATCCTCTTTCTCCTCTTCGTCTTCATCCACCTTGCGTATCATCCGCACCTTCCCCATCCTGCTCCGCCGCGCCATGCAGCTCCCATACCCCGCGCGACATCGAGGGGAAAGAGGACAAGGTTGCGGTCGTCGAAAAATTCAACTGGGGCGATCCCGTGCATGGACAATAGATCCAAACACTGTGACTCAAGAGGCCCCCCCCCGGACCCACGACATCATCCGTGGGGGTGTAGCAGTGGAAGAGGCGTGAGTGCACAGTCACATTCGACTGGAGAAACATAGCCAGCATCTAGACCAGCATTGCTGATCAAGCGACGGGAGGGACGACCAGGACTCGACTCACCACTGTGAATGCTCGTAATTATGCAGTGGAGGCCCGACCACAAGAAACCTTCCTCAAGAAACCCGACCCTGAGACACCAGGACGTCCACTGACTTCTGGCGTGGGAAGGTCACGCTTCCCATCGCAGACCCACCGAAACCCAAGAGAAACCCAGGGCACCCTGGAGGCAAGCGGGGCGTTTTCTGGCACGGGCCCCCGCCGTATGCGTCGTCCATCTGCTCGGGCAGGGCAGGAGGTAGTGTTAGGTCGGGCGTGTCCCCCTACAGGAGGATGTTCTACGACGAATAAAAATACACCAAAAATAGTCAAGAGATGCCCAAACCTACTCGAAAAATCGTCCCCTGATTATGTTTTGACTATGTTTGAAGATTCCTCCTGTAGAGGGACAGGCCCGACTTAGAGGTAGTGAGACAGCGCAAAAAAAGAACGAGAGGACAGGTCATCGCAGAACATGTCAGAGGAGGCTGGCAGGCCGAAGCCTGAAGAGCGGGCTTTTGATGCCGTGACCCGCGCGCACATCTTCAATGCAGGCAGCTACCACACACACGATGAATGCCGTCGGAAGTGCAGTAGGGAGCTGGCAATAACTGGCACGCTCTACGCACCACCACACAACTGCAGCCACGGAGACCAGCCCGTCCTTACTGATGCTAACCGCACCCGAGGTTGTCCTACCCCGTCAGCATGGATCCACGCAGCGTAAATGTGCAGGGCCGCAGCAGTGATCGGAGCCCGGATCCAATGGTGATAACTAGGTAGATCACTACCTTCCAGACCACCCCAACCCAACCCGAAGACCCCAATTTCGGGTTGGGGGGGGTTCGGGTTCCATATGTGTTTTTTCAATGTTCCCCGACCCCCCCAAACTGGAAATCGAGGGCAAATTGAGGCCTTCGGGTTGGGTTGGGGTGGTTTGGTGGGTGGTGAGTAGAGGTCGCTGGGAGCAAGCTGGCAGAAGCACGGAGCAGGAGGGGGATCGACGCACTTGTGGCTCCGACTGGGCAGGCGGCCCAGGGAAACCACTGGAGGCCCTACACCATGCGAAAACCTCCGTCCACCGGGAAGCCCTCGAAGGCCCTACAGACCATGCGAAAACGTCCGTCCCGGGAAACCCCATGAGCCCCTATAGGTACACCGCCCTCCACAGCGCGAAAGCTCCCGCTCTCGACGCTCCTGGCGCTCCCGACGCTCCCTTCGCTCCCGGCGCTCCCTGGCGCTTCCGGCGCTCCCGGCGCTCCCGACGCTCCCGACGCTCCCGGCGCTCCTGACGCTCCCGACGCTCCTGAGGCTCCTGACGCTCCTGACGCTCCTGACGCTCCTGAGGCTCCTGAGGCTCCTGACGCTCCCGACGCTCCAGGCGCTCCCTTCGCTCCCGGCGCTCCTGGCGCCCCTGGCGCCCCCGACACTCCCGGCGCTAGCGGCGCTCACGGCGCTCCTGACGCTCCCGGCGCTCCTGACGCCCCTGACGCTCCTGACGCTCCTGAGGCTCCTGACGCTCCCGGCGCTCCCGACGCTCCCGGCGCTCCCTGGCGCTTCCGGCGCTGCCGACGCTCCTGACGCTCCTGACGCTCCCGACGCTGCGGAGCTTCAGGAGCTTCGGGAGCTTCGGAGGGTTGGTGGCACCCGGTGCCCCATCCATCAAAAAAATAAAGGAGGACAAATCGTCCCCAGACTATTGACTATGTTCAAATACTCCTCATGTAGAGGGGCACGCCCGACTTGAGACTTGTTATATCGTTGGTATCGTTATGGTTGTTATCGTTATCGCTGGTATCGTTGTCGCTGGTATCGTTGCCGTGGTTATCGTTGTCGCTGTTACCATTGTCGCTGGTATCGTTGTCGTGGTTATCGTTGTCGCGGGTATCGCTGTGGTTGTCGTTGTCGTTGTTATCGTTGTCATTGTTATCGTTGTCAAAACTGTACGGTGTGATCGTTGTAGTCGTTGTTACTGTGATCGTTATAGTTGCTGTCGCTATCGTTGTTGTCATTGTCCTTGTGACCGCTGTCGCTGTAACCACCGCCCAGGGAATGAGGTCTGGGAGCCTCGGCAGGCAGTGTATATGGATACAGCTGCCCCCCCAAGGGCCCGCATATGCCACCATGCCCACACCCAAACCATCGGGGGCGCGCAAACATGGATCAGCGATCCATGGATTTGGCGCGCGGTCGCCTGATCCATGGATCGGGGGAGGTGCCCTCCCCAAAATGCGGCCGGTGCCGCCTCGCCCGGCGGCGGAAATCCGCGATTTGCCATGGAAGCGGGAGCCGTCGCTAATCCACGCCCCCCTCGAACCATGTTGGCGATCGCCCGGATGTCCACCCCCAGACCAGGGCCCCACGACATCGATCCCCCAAGGGCCGGTCAGGGAGAAGCCCTTCCCCTCGAGCCGGAGAGAGCCTCCGCACCGCGCCGCTCCGTCGGTGGCCACTGCGACGACGACGGCGACGACGGCGCCGGCGGCGTCGTCGCAGCGGCGCTGCGCACACCGCTGCAGCCCAGCTTGAAGGAGAAGGGCCCCGATCTACTGCGGAACGGCGCGGCGCGTGGACCAACGGCAGGACAGGCACGGCCCAAGGAGCGCAGAGAGGGCCCCGAGAAGGGCCCAAGAGGAGGAGGAGCCATTGGCACCTCGAGCCCTCTTCCCCCCAAGGTGGCGCCAAGAGCCCCCCAGAGAGCCCCCCGAGGCGCCCCCGAGAGGCCCCAAGGAGCCTCCAGGAGGCCCCAGGGAGAAGCCCCGAGGAGACACCCGGGAAGCCCCGGGAAGCACCCCGGATGCCCCCAAGAGCCCTCCTGCAGGCCACTTGACTGACTTCGGAGGACGCTCCTGGGAGCCTTCCGTCATCACCCGAGTGGCCGCAGTGGCTCCTCCAATGGCCACCATTAACCAGCCTCGAACGTATCCCTATCCCTAAGATGGGCGAGCAAAAAGCGAGGACAATCTCAGGGACAGGCCCTCAGAAACCGAGGGAATCCTCTCAAGATCGGCATCGAGGCAAGATGATATCAAACATAGGGATACGGATATGTCTCAAACTGGTAAACCATGGGACCCCAGCGGCCCCCCCGCAGGCCTAGAGCCGCCTCCGGTGCCTCCTCCAATGGCCACTTTGGACGCCCGAAATGGGCACGGAAAGAATGGGCACAATGCCCAACAAGAAAAGCTGTCCCAAACCGACAGCGGCCGCTGTTGGGCAGGCGGCCTTCTGTCTCGAATGGACACAGGCCGCGGCGTGCCGTTCCGCTCGTGCTGAGCCACCATGGGACCCCAGCGGCCCCCCGCAGGCCTGGATCGGGGATGGACAGACCTCCCTTTAGTAAAACGTGGTCTAGCGAAAACGACTTCGGGCCCAAACCTGCCGGGCGCAAGCCTGGCAAATGACGGCCACGGCGCCCTCTCGAACACCGAAAACGGACAATTCACTAATCGACGTGTCACTGTTGGGGGTTCTGTCCCCCCCCGCAGGCCTGGAGCCGCCTCCCCAGACCCCCGACGTCTTGAATTTTTCATGACGTCGACCCCCAGAGGTCCAGACCCATTCCCCGGGACCGGTTTTTCGTCCCGAGTCGTTTCTTGACGGCCCCGAGGGCCGGTAAGGGCCCCCAGAGGCCGAAAATCATATATATATATATATATAAGAAGAATAAGAAAGAAAAAAAAAAAAAAAAAAAAAAAAAAAAAAACGCGTCGTGATTTTTTCATAACTCGAGGGGTCTGGGTCCGGCCGTCCATCGTATCCTCTCCGGCGGCCACCGCCACACCCCCCCCCCACGCCGGCCTCCCGGTGGCCTCCCCGCGGCCTCCCGTGGCCCCCCACGGGGGGCCACACCGGTGCCGAGGGCGAAGCGGCAAGGGCACCGAGACAGGGAGGAAAGGGAAGAGGGACGAGGAGGGAGACCGACGCACAGTAAGAAAGAAGCAAAAGAAGACTAAAGGACTAGACCCGACTACATCACTCAACCTCCCTCCCAATAAAATCAATAGACAAGCACATCACCCACTAGTTAAGAATAAAGTAACACATCACTTACTAAAGACACGAAAGTAATACGGTAAAGCAACCGTGACCTCCCTACTAACTCCTCCAGCCTCCCCAGAATGCCCCTCCGGTACTCCTCAGCACTCCCCGCAACCTCCTCTTACTCACCTCCCCCTTCCTCCTGTCCTCCCTCTCCCTCCTCCTACATCTCCTCCCTCCCTCCTCCTACCTCCTCCCTCCCTACTCCATGTCCTCAACCCTCCTCCCCCCTCCCTCCCCTTCCCCTCATCTCCTCCCCTCCTCCCCCTCCTCCTCCTCCCTCCTCCTCCCTCCGCCGACGGATCGCCTTCTCAAGATGACGGCACCGAGGACAGGCACGGGAGGGATCGAGCAGGGGCCGATCGTCTTGGCATTCCCATAGTCCTGCCACGAAATTGTCCTCGAGCCCAAGAATGTTCTAAGAACAAAGCAGTGCTCTTAGAACATAACCCCGATGCGTTCACAAACACGACAGACTCCGCCAGAAGTGTTCCAAGAACATGTCGTGGAAACCACAAAAGGCTCTTAGATCATTGTTTGGTGGGGCTGTAGGCGAGCCAAGACGCTTCGCCACTGCTTTTTGGACGCCCGAAATGGGTACGGAAAGAATGGGTACAATGCCCAACAACAAATGTTGTCCCAAACCAACGGCGGCCGCCGTTGGGCGGTCGGCCTTCTGTCTCGAATGGACACAGGCCGCGGCGGCGCGGACAGCGAGTCCTGTCCAAACCGAACAGGAAATGCTGCTTGGCATCGTACCCATCCTTCCCGTGCCCATCTCGCTCGTGCCGGAAGGCCAGGCCGACGGACGAGAAAAGAGGCTCCCAGGATCGCCCTCCCGAGACGACGGTACCGAGGACGGGCACGGGAGAGAGGGAGCCGAGCCCGCGCGTGCAGGTGCACGGCACGCGGCCGCCCCACGCGGCGCGCCCCCCCGGAGCGGGGGGGGGGCGTGCCGGCCCGCGGCCCGTGCTGCGGGCTGGCGCTGGAGGTCGGTGCGCGGCAGCGGGGAGCAAACACGGAGCTCTGGCGCGCAGGGGCCAGAGCCGAAAATCGGCAGCAGGGGGCCGGATGCGGAGCCCGCCCCCGCCCGGGCCGGATTTCTGAGGGGGGGGGGGTCCCGTCGCTCGGGAGAGCTCCCGAGCGAGGTGAGCCCCACCCTCCCCCTCAGAAAATCGTGGGGGGCAGGGGGTAGGGGCGGAGGAGGAGTTGCAGGAGGACGAGGAAGGGGGTGATCAGCAGGAGGAGGAGGAGGAGGAGGAGGAGGAGAATGGCGGGGGAGGGGGAGGACGGGAGGAGGAGGAGGAGGAGGAGGAGGTTGGAGGCGGAGGAGGAGGAGGAGGAGGAGGACGCATCTGGCCCCCTAGGCAGGGAGCACAAATACTTAAACAGGCTCCGGTCGCGGGGCGCCAGCCCCGCATGCACAAGGCAAGCCGGCACGGCGGAAGGCCCATGCGAGTCGCTGCCCCTCTGGCTCTTCCACGCTCACTGGCGGGTCTGCGATGGATCGGATCGCCAAATCGGATCGGATCGAGAGCGGATCGGATCGCCATCGAATCGTTCCGAATCGAATCCGAAGAATCGGATCGCCAAGCCTGCCTCCGGCCAGCCCTGGCCGATGCCCCCCGTGAATCGAACCGAATCGAATCGGATCGGAATCGCGGCCCCAACTGGCGAATCTGAATCGCATCGAATCGGATCGTAGGCGGCCCTGACTGGTGGCACACCTCCCCAGTCTTCGGCGGTGGACAAGCCTCCCTTCAGTAGACCTCCCCTCCGTGAAAACGGCCCAGGGCCGAAACCCACGGACCTGGACCCGCAAAAGTGACGGCCGCGACGCCCTCTCGCGAACCGAAAACGGCCAATTCCTTAATGGACGTGTCGGGGTAGGAGGTCTGTCCACCCTCGAAGTCTCGCCTCCGCCCCCGCTCACTGCCCTCCATCGCGAATCGATCGAGCTGCTCGCCGTGCAGCCGCGGGGCGCGCCCAGGCCCAGCCGCCAGTCGCCCGCCGCCGAGCGCGGGGCGTGGGAACGCATCAGTCCTCATGGTCCTCCTCCTCCTCCTCCTCCCCCTCCTCCTCCTCCTCCTCCTCCTCCTCCTCCTCCTCTCACTCTTCCTCCTCCTCCCCTCCTCCTCCTCTCCTCCTCCTCCTCCTCCATCCTCCTCCTCCTCCTCCTCCTCTCCTCCTGGGCGCTACCGTGGGGGGGGGTGGGGGGGGGGGGCCTCGTGGCCGCGGCCCGACGGCCCTCGGCACCCTGGCTGGATGGGCGCCCAGGCAGGGCCCCGGGGGGTCGACGTCGGCCCACACCTCTGGATTTACAGCCAAAACGTATGGTAAATACGCGTGGCAAGGACGAAAGACCCTTGGAGGCCGAAGTTGGATTTTTGGGGCGGGGGGGCAGTGAAAACGGCGAAGGACGGGCCGCAGAGGCAAGGACTCGAGGGTACCCTAGAGGAAGGCGCGCGTCCTTACTAGGCGCGTTGACTGTACTCGAGGACCACATCCCAGGAATAGCCTCGAGCACCCAGAAAAAAGGTATCGAAGCAGTGTCTGCCCGACACGCCAGCGGAGCGTCGAGCGAGCATCGCCTCCCGTGGCCCGAAACGTGAGCCACCACCCCCAAATTCGGTGCTGTCTTGGTGCTCGAAATTCTGTCTGGTGGTCAAGGCCAAAGTAGGTGGAGACACCAGAACTCTGGATCTTTCCTCACTGCCCCTGCGCCTCTCCCCTGATTCGTAGCAGGGCGAAGGCAGGCAACGGCAGCTCAGAACCGGGCCCTGGGCCCCTCCCAGGACAGAACGCGCAAGTTATCCGAACTGTGTCCAGCCGTGGCGACGAGGGCCCCCCCCCCGAAGCCCAAAGTTCTGTCTCGATTCGCCCTCCTCTGAGCCTCAATCACGTCTACTGTGAGGCGCCATCGGGAGCTGGACGTCGCATGGACCTCTGTCGAGGAAGGAACAACGGCAAAACATTAGCTTTCGACGGTCCGCGCGGACCGTCGAAAGTTTACAGTGGGGGCCCGACCACAAGAAACCTTCCACGAGAAACCCAACCCTGAGACCCCAGGACGTCCATCGATTCGTTGTGTGGGGAGCGTCACGCTCTCCCTGGCAAAGCCATCGAGGCTCAAGAAACCCAGGGCACCCTGGAGGCAAGCAGGGTGGGTGTTTTTTTTAGCATGGGCCCCCACTGTCTGTGCATGCAGGTGTTCCTTCCTCGACTCTAAGATTAGGGGCAACCACAAGGTGGGATAGGCATAGGTAAAGGGGCCCCAGGACACACGAATAAATACACACAAATAAAAAGATTCCCCATATGTTCCCATATTTTCTGGGTTTTTGTCTTCCCCCCCACTTCCCATATTTTCCCATATTTTCTGGGGAATCGCCGATTAATTGTGTCTGTGTGTTTCTTTCCCTCCTCAATAGGGAGGGGGGAATCCACCTGAAACCGGCGATGCACCGCCGACGGATCGGCGACAGACCCCCGATGGCGAATCCTCACCTTCCCGGGCGGGGTGGCGCCATCGGGCCCCCATCGGCGATCAGTGGGCGATTGGGTTGTGGATGCCACGACAACGGACACCCTAAGAGTCCTACCATCGAATGAAACATGTGTTTAAAAAATGTCGGAGTCATGCCCTGGAGATGTTTTTAAACATCTGTCTTTTACATGTTTGAAGCAGTTGAGACACGTGTTCTGAGACGTCTGGAAATTCTCTGGCAGCATGCTTTCTCTCCAATGGTCGTCCTCCACAACGATCGGCGGTGGACAAACCTCCTTTTAAGGGACCTCCCCTCAGTGAAAACGGCCCAGGACCGAAACCCACGGACCTGGACCCGCAAAAAAATGACGGCCGCGACGCCCTCTCGCCAACCGAAAACGGCCAATTCCTGAATCGACGTGTCGGGGTAGGAGGTCTGTCCACCTTTCCGAAACGATTGGGGGTCGATGCATCCCCCCCTGTGCCTCTCCCCCCGCCTGGTCGCTGCCCCCGACGAGAGTTGGCGGTGCGCACAAGGGGGAGAAAAGGAGGGGGGAGGGCTTCGTAGAAGGAGGCCGCTCCTCAGAAGGCGCCGGCCATGCATCTGCGGATGAGGCCCGCGCCCTCTAAGAAGCAGGGGTGCCTCTGAGGCGGCCTCCCCCCCTGGCCATCGCTCGGACGTCCACTCCCTGTGTCTTTTTTTTTGGGGGGGGGTCGTGCGCGTTTTTGTTCGCCACATGATCAAGCATGCTCCTCGATGGTCCTCGCCGAGAGAAAAATGCACACGTCCGAGCGATGCCAAGCCCCTCCCCCCGCCCTCCTCTGCGCGCGGCCGGGAGAGGCCATCATATGTATAAACGCCGGCCGCGGGCGGAGAGGCGCTGGGGCCGCCGCACCGCGGGGCCGAGCGCGAGGGGCCCGGGCGAGGCGCCGCGCCCGCTCTCCGCAGGGGAGGGCGCCCCGCGCCGGGCCGCCCCCCCCGCTTGGTGGCACCGAATTGGGCGGCGAGGGCGGGGAGGGCGAGCGCCGCCTGCGCAGGCCCACCTCCCGGGGGGGCTCCCAGCTCCGCGCAGCGTCGCGGGCGCGAGGAGCTTCGCGCTCTCCCGCGCCGCCCGCCCCCCCCCCCCCCCAGATGGAGGATGTGGGGAGGACGGAGGTGGGGGGAAGGAGGGGGGAGGGAGGGGAGGGAGAGACTGGAGGGGGGAAGGAGGGGAAGTAGGGGAGGAGGGGGAAGGAGGGGGAAAGGAGGGGGAAGGAGGGGGAAGTAGGGGGAAGGAGGAGGGGGATTACGAGGTGAGGGGGAAGGACGAAGGAGGCCGCGAGGACGAGGAGGCTGGGGGGGAAGGAGCGAGGGCCGCGAGGCGCGATGGCGCGAAGCACTTCGCGCAGCCCTCGTGGGAGCCCTGGCCACCTCCGCCCCTCCACCCGGGGTGCCCGAGCCCGAGAGCCTGCCAGGGAGGGGGGCCCACCCCGAGGCCCTCCTCTCCTCCTCCTCCTCCTCCTCTCCTCCCCTCCTCCTCCTCCTCCTCCTCCTCCTACTGCCACGATGGTTGTGGTGGTGCAACGTCGGTCTCACACACGCTTTCGAGGCCTGCCACGGGGGGGGGGGGGGGCCCACCCCGAGGCCCCAGGACGTCCGCCGTCCTGTCTGGCACGGGAGCGCCTCGCGCGCTCCTCCGGAGCGGAGCCGTCGGGGCCCAGGCAGCCCGGGGCGCGCCAGAGGCGAGCAGGGTGCTTCTTGACACGAATCTCCACTGTAGGAGAGGGAGGAGGAGGATGAGGAGAAGAGGAGGAGGAGGACGCGGATCTCCCCAGACAGCCAACGTTCTCCCCGTCGACCTTTATGGTATGTGGAACAAAGAGCTGCACTGACGTGCTGATGAGCCAGCCTTCCACCACCACTACACAGTTCCGGGCGGGGGGATGAGCATGGGTTGGGGGGTCCTCCTCCTCCTCCTCCACCTCCTCCTCCACCTCCTCCACCTCCCTCTCTACGTATGGTTGTGGTGGTGAAGCGTCGGCTCATCACATACACTTTCGAAGGTCCGCGCAGATATTCTTCATCGGCGCTAGGCCCCTCAGTGGCCGCGCCTCCGGCGCCGCCCGTGGCGCGCTCGGGGCGCCGGGGGGGGGGTCCAGCGCCGATCCAACGAGTCCGCGTGGACCTCCGAGAAATCAGTGCAATGCAGTTTGATGCTCGTCTATGAAGGGGCCCCAGGACACACAGATAAATACACACAAATAAAAAGATTCCCAATATTTTCTAATGTTTTCTGGGTTTTTGTCTTCCCCCCACTTCGCATATTTTCCCATATTTTCCTGGGAGTCGACGATTAATTGTGTCTGTGTGTTTCTTTCCCTCCTGAGTCTATCCTCACACAGCCGAAGCCAAGATCGGAACAAAATCGGCTCGGGAGAAATGCGGGATCTCTGAGTCGGAGGGTCTGGAGAATGCATCGGACGCCGCGGCAGTTCCAAAACGCTCGGGGACGCTCGGAAAGCGCTCCAGGCAGCTCTGGAACGACCCGTCCCGGTCCTGGCCCCACCCGACTCCTTCCTCACCCCTCCCCCAGCCCTCCTCAGGCTGCTTTTCGGGAGCGGCCGAGAGGGGGGGTGGCCAAGAGGGGGGGGTGCAAATCATGACCGGCGGCACATGCGCGGCCCAGCGGGGGGGCCAGGGACGTGATGAAATAAGCAGAGGCGCCATGAAATCTGGGGAACTATCGTGGCCCCCGCCATGCTGTCCACCCCCCCCCCCTGGTCATCACCCCCCTCTTTTCCGCCCCCGAGCTTTCCTGCCTGGACTGGGGGAGGGGAGGGGGTAGGATGCTCCTGATTTCGTAATAAAGGGAGGGGGGTCTCGTTTCGGGGGGGGGTCTCTTCCAGGCTATCTTGGAGAGCCTGGGGGGTCTGGGGACGGTGTGTTTGGAGGGTTCTCCCACGGGGGAGGTCTGAAATGGCTTGTCTTGGAGGGTCCAGACCCCCTCCCTTTTATTACGAAATCTGGCGTAGAGGAACAAGACCCAAAAACAGAATGGCACTGGCACAGCCTCTTGCGGAGCTCCGCGCGGATTGCTGCGGTCGGCGCCGCGCGCCCCTCCCCCGGCGCGCGAAGAGCGCGCCGGGGGAGGGGCGCCCGAGGCGCCGCCCCTGGCGCCGTGGGGGCCTCAGCGCAGATTCCAGGAAGCCGCGCGGGCGTGGCTTCATGTAGGGCGACGAAATCTATACATATCCACTGCTCCCTGGCCAGGCCCATTCTGAACCCAGCAGCGGTGTACACGTCACGCCCTCCTGGCTCGGCCAGGAGGGCGTACACACAGCTCCCAGGTTCAGGCTGGGCCTGGCCGGGGAGCAGTGGATATGTATAGATTTCGTCGCCCGATCATGGGGGGGTCATAAACGGGGGGGTTAGAAAAGGTCCCCTGTCGTGCCCCTTTCGGGCCCCTCCAGAGCCCCAGGGGGCTCGTTTGGGTACCGTGCGGGTGCCTTTTCGAACCACCCCTGCCACCCCCCCATTTATAACCCCCCCATTACGCGGCGCCCAATCCACGTGGACCTCCGAACCTGTCGGTTATTGCTCATTCACCATTGGTTCGGTCCGAACTCATTATACCTCCGAATGGTGAATGCGAATCCGATCCCGTTGGTTCGGACTCGCATTCACCATTCGTGCCAGTCGCATCCGTTTTCTGGTGATGAGTACTCGTCGTTGTACTGTTCCTTCGTCTTCTCACATGTTCTATGATTCATGCTGTTTTTCTTGGTACGGGCGGTGGATATTCCCCAGACGGTGTTTGCACTTAGGGGTTCGCACGTCTCTTCTCAAGACCTGGGCCTGCGAGCCGGTCTGGCGGCTATGTTGTCGACGTCGCCTCCCCGTCACCGCTTCGTCGCCGTCCGTCGTCTGGCCTTGCGGGTCAGTCTGGAGACTACGTTGGTCGCCGTCGCCGCCCCGTCGCCGAATCGTCGCCGTCCGTCGTCTGAGCATGGGCGGTACAATATGTACCGCACGGCATAGACTGCACCATATAGACAACACAAAATAGGTCGCACAACATAACTCGCACGACATGAAGTTTGGCAACAATGGTTTTTCTTTCTCAAAAAATAGTTGGACCTCCCCCCCTTCCCCCAACCCGGACTCAACGGTTCTCAATTTCGTATAGTAATTTACATGAATTTATGCCCCTCGTCCGTTCTAACTATAAATCCCGACCATCCTCGGCAGGCCAGCACCCCCCCTTTTTAATCATCTCCTGCTAAACAAACGTTGCGCGCTCGCATGTATAAAAACATGAACTGTCAAGAACCCGTTTTGCAAACACACTGTGGAAGTGTACGCGCGCGTCGTCGCGGGGGCCTGGGTTCGCAACAAATTTCTCTAGAAAAATGGAGTCTGGGCTCCTGAATTATTAATTTTATTCTTGAATACATATATATATGTATATATATATATATACATACATACATACTACTCAACATCATATCTATATATATATATATATATATATATATATATATATATATATATTCACCAAACGTGTGTGTTTCGTGCGCAAGTCAAATCGCTCGAACGCCCTTGCGCGCGTGCTGTCGCAAGAACGCCTAGCAAGAAGAAAACGGGACGAACTGCGCACGCGCGCGTCGTGGCGCGCATGCGTACAAGGGACTGAAAATCGAGACCCCCGAAAAATACAAATGGTTTAGTGCTTAGTCACAAAACTGTCTGTGTTCGCGCTCCTGCGGGCTCTTAATGAAGCCACCGGTTGTTCACACTTCTCGTTCAATTCAGCCAAACAGGCCCCGCGCGCCGCATGACGAAATCATTCGAACGCCCTTGCGCGCGTGCCGCGGGGGGGGGGCACGATCCGTGTCAGATGATACAATGCGGGCCACGTTCGCGTCGGCCGCGCGCCCATGTCGAATTCTTTCATTAACTTGCATCACCGACACGAGGATACCGTCATCGTCGCCGGCGTGATTAGGATCGGCGCCGTCGCTGGCCTTGCCGTCGTCGTTGTCAGCATCGTCGCGAGCATCGCTGCTACCATCATCGTGTATACGGCTGTCGGCGTTGCCACGATACCGCTCCCACCCAAATTGCCGACTCGCACTAAAATGCCCGCGGGGAAGTGCCCAGAGGTCAGCGCCACCGCGGCCGCGTCGGTCGCGCCGAACTAGCTGTTCGCTGCGCGCGCGCGAGCCTGCGCGGACTAGCGCGGCCGCAGATATGCACCAGCCAACGCCAAGCACTCATCGCAATCGCTGCCGCATGGGCTTTGCAAAGCAAGTTGCGAGTGGACGGGTGGGACTTCTGCAAGGGCATAGGACTTGTCAACATACTGACCATCAGTCTTTTTGCAAATATTAATACGACGTTTCTTATCAGTATCGATACTATCAATATCTGATCTACAACTTTATAATGGAAATTCCTCTGCTTCGGGACGGCACGAGTCTTCGAAGAGTACCGTCAGTAAGGCTCCAAAGGAAAATTCGTTCCATATCTGATACATGTATAAACGATATATGCTCATTAATAGGTTATGATATATATATATATATATATATCAATATATCAATATATCAATATAGCAATATATCAATATATCAATATAACTATAAAATAAAAACAGGAATGTGAAGAAGAATAAGAAGAAACCAAACAAACAACATGGAACAACAGCAATAACATGAAACAAACAAAAAAAACGTCTTGGCTGTTTCTAAAACTGCACGAGGAAACCCCAAGATTGTCACAAAACGGCCGGCGAGGCCCCCTGAGGGGGCCCAAAACAGCCCTGAGACGGCCCCAGGGAGACAGCCCGAACGGGGCTCCCAAAAAGGGTTCGCAAAAAGGCCCCGAGACGGCCCTAGGGGCCCCCAGCGCGGCCCAAGAGAGCCGAATAATGCCCTAAGAGAGCCCAAGAGGGGGACCCGAACTGATACTCCAAGCTTTGCCCCCCAAGATGGCCCCAAGAGCCCCTCACAGGCCCTCGAGGCGGCCCCAAGAGGCCCCAAAAGACCTCCAAGACTGCCCCCAAATTAAGCCCCCAAAAAGCCCCCAACAAGATTCCAAGAGGCCCCGAAAAACGCCCCATAATACCCAAGAGCCCT